CACACATACACAGAGCAAGTAATATAGTGGCCATAAAGTACTTGAGCAAAGGCTAGGGTGACATTTGGGGTGGAGAGCTGAGTTCAAGGAACAGTGTGAAGCAAGTATGTCAAACATCAGTCCATCAGGGGCTAGAACTGACCTGCCAAATCACTCCAATTTAACCCACTGGATGTCTTTGGAAGATGTGAAGATGAGCAAAGATTTTGGACTTTTAACTGTATCTTCATAAGTTTTTGAGCTTCTCTTACTGATAGAGACAGCACACTGATAGCTACACCAAAGTAACTAAGCAAGAAATGAACAATGAAAACTAACAGAAAAAAATTACAGAAAAGTTCATGTTTCTTCACTTTATATATAAATATATATTTATATATATAAATATATATTTATATATATATATATAAAAACCTACTTAAAATGTAGTCCCAAAGAGTCCATATGCTGACAGATTTCTTCCATGACCATTTCTTCATTATGTTGACAAACAGTTGAAATCTTATTTTTCTTATATTCAATGTGTGGTTAAACTTGTTACTGACAGAAAGAGGATTTTCACTGGTCTGGCCCACTGGCCCAGGTCAAAGTGGGTTATATGTGGCCCACGATGTAAATGAGTTTGGCATCAATGGTGTAAGCCTTGTATGTTAAGAAAATCAGATAAGACACTCGCTCACTCTGTTGGGGGAACTGAACGTATGGACTTGTTACAAATGGCTTTTAATAAGTTTTGACCATTTTTTAAAATAGGAGATTCAAAAAGATACAACAGTAATTGCTTGATGACGAGTTTGCAACTAAAACATAGCTGTAGGGTGGGGTGAGGGTAATTACATACACATACATGCATGCATACTTGAGATAACTTGACACACACACACACACACACACAGTGGAGATAAGCAACAAGTGCCATTATACTTTCATTTTTTTATTAATTGTTTTTTGATAAAGGGACAAAATGGGTGTGTGAACAGGATTATGCAGACATCTGCCAGAAAACACAGACAGTGGTTTTCCCAATACAACTGAACAGAGACCCCAAACAAGTACAACAGAAATTAAAGAGCTCCAATGACCATCGGCCACCATTACAAAAAAAAAAACAAATTAAAATTTAAAAAATTAAAATTATAACATAACCAAAAAAAATAAGAAACCAAAAAGACCAAAAAGAATCCATTCCATGTCTCTGTTTTAAACAGAGCATATAGGTAATAATAAATAGTAACTCCCATAGTAAAAGATAAAGTTCAAGTTCAAGTTACAACAAACAGCTCTCAGAACAGGAATAGAAAAGGCTGATAACAAAATATTCCGCATTGCCATTTACAAAAAAGTCTCAACTCAAGCAGGCTTCTCCACGTCCCCCGGGTCATTTTTAAATATGCTTTGCATATGAAAGTATACCCAATCTAAATATAAAGCACCATTTAGTATTTGGCAATGAAAAAAACTGCAAAACATTAAATTTGTTTTTCAACGTATTTATTTTGACGCTTTTTCGTAATCCATGTACTGCATATGAAGTTTTTTTTTCTTTTGTTTTCCCCCCTAGCTTCTTGATGTTGGAATGTTGTCAGGTGGGAGGGGTGAGAGAGACAGAAGCACACAACAGAACAGGCCGACGTCAGCTTGCATTACTGCATACAAGAATGGCAGCGGGGGGGGGGGACAAGGGAAGGAGGTCTGAACCAAAAAGCAAACATATGTACAACCACCTCTGTGGACAGGAAACAGCAGCGGCCATCTGATGGCCCCACGACGCCTCCCAATGCCACATATTTTAGCTGCTTTTTATGTTTTTTTTCTTTTATTTCTTTAAACATACAAATAATTCGCACTATATTATCCTGCCAAATTAAAAAAATATACCGTGGCAGCTTGGGATTTTTTTTCCACTACCAAAAGAAGGTATGGTAAATACCTTTAGAGAGAACAAGCAACAGTTAAAAATACGAGCCTCAATATAAATACTATAGTGCCTACTCTAAGTGAACATTGAATTCAAATACAATTCTAGAAATACAGAAAAAGTAGACCATAAATGTGTTTAAGCATAGGAATCGACATGAGTGTGCATTTTCCTATATTTTAAGTTCTTTATTATATATTCATATATAATTTTAATCCTTTCCCCAATGTATTTCAACCTGAAGAGCTGTGAAGAGCCAAGGCAAAAACAAAATACGGAAAAAGAAAATCACAGAGTTTGTTTTTTTTGTTTTGTTTTTTGTTTGTTTGTTTTTCATCTTTTTTTTGTATCATTTCATATATACTGTGATCGGAGTCTTGAACACCACCAAGACGCTGAGGAAAAGAGAAACGACAATTAAACTTAAATACATCTTCCCCTAAGAGAGCGTGAAGTGTTATTTGAAAACAAAAGTTTATTTTCATATCTATAATTAAAGGAAGATTTATACAAAAAACAGATTCTTGCAGTGTGGGCAACACAACTTGGAGTGTCAGTTGACAAGCCAGTAAGGTCTATAGATTATTCAGGTACAGACGACAACAACAGCTCCTTTAAAATAAAGAAGAAAGAAAAAAAGTGGATGTTACAGTGGCCAGCAGGAATGAAAACTGTGTCCATTTGACGGCCGTGTAGGAGCATCGGTTACTCGCTGTGAACCTTTGAATTTACAGATCTTGCTGACAACAATGAAATATCAGCCCAGGCTAAATGTTGGGGATTCCAGGGGTAACAATTTGACAAATGGTCAAAGGTGAAATGGCAAGGGTACAGAGGTCATGAGGGTGGAGTTGCAACATATTATGTGTCTTATCTTTTACTGTTCAGAACAATGGGACCCTCATTGTCTGACAGCATTTCAGTGAGGTTTTCGTCCCCTTTGACGTAAACTTGTAAACAGGAAAAAAAGGAAACAGTGCACTTTATGTCCTATAAATGACAATCTAGCTTTTAGACTCAACCTGCATTGGTGTGGCACAATGCACGAGAGACGTCAGTACGTACCCCAGGTGGAGTGACAAGTGAAAACTGTGAACGGCTTGAATGAAACAACAACAAAAAAAATCTGCCTTTGGGTTAAAAAGCAACAGCAAACAAACAAAAATGCTCTGCATTAGCCTATACACACTGATTAAAATGATCTCATTCTGATTTTTTTGAAAGAGCCCTAGAGTACAGATAGATTTTTTTTGCAATTCTCTATTTTTTTCTCTGCAATAATACTTATGACCCTGTTTTGATACTGGAAATGTAAAGTGAAAGACATTGCCTCTAATCCCCGTAATATGTAGCTTCCAGTTCTGTGTAGCTTTCTGTCTGTCTAGCTTGTAGTTATTTCAATGCTCTCAAATAAAGTTAGCCTCATTTGGAGCTCATATATTACTTTATGCATTGTTCCACACACTGACGTATTGAAGCAGCGTTGTAGGTTTGTGCTAACGCAGATACATGACACTTCTCAGCCATGCGTTGTATCCCTCAAATTCAGGATTGTACACTACAGGTTACCTTTGTTTTAAAAGTACCTCCTTACCAAAAAACAAAACTACAAATAATTCAGATATACACAATACTGCTTGTACCATGCTTGCCATGAAATCCACATATTAAAGATAGCCTATTGAACATGTAATAGGTAGCTAAATGATGATTAAAGAGAACTCGCTGATCTTTCATCATGAATCATCACAGTCCATTTGAGCAGTCAGGTGCTTGATGCAAGGACCTTCGCTGGGTGGCTTATGTGACCCCAAACTTATGCCAGATAAGGTTATGGCCAATGCAGTCTAAAGATATCAAAGGCACTCTTTCTTATTCTACCGAATGATAGTACAAATTGAATTCTAGCACACCCTTGTCTTTTTTTAAAGAAATTTCAAGGCCCACTTACAGTTTAGTCCTCAAGCCAATGCATGTTGTTGTTTTTTTAAACCCTGTCTGAACATGGTATCTTTTAGAAAGATCAGGATAAGTGCATTTCCAGGGTTGTAAGAAATGGATCAAGTCAAAGAATGTTCACTTTCCATGTTACAAAACAGAACTGTACATGATATGTGTTACAGAATGTATGCAGCATGGATGTATCTTTCTTGTCTTTTCTCTTTTTGAAGAATAAAAAGAAAAAAACTGAACAAGAGAAAAACAGCAACACATTTACTCAACAACTAACCAACCAGGGACAAGTTCTTTTCTTTTTTTTTTTTCTTTGATTAGCAAAAACATACTATGCATGCTGACTAATTCTTAAAAATGGAAAAGGAAAACTCATAAAAGAAAATAGTACACAACATGTAAATTATTGCACAAGAGAAAGGCTCGAAGTTTTGCGTCAATGCAAGAGTATTGCCCCGATACAGATCATGCATTCAATGAGTAATGGAAACAGGGTGTGCTGGTGCAAAGCACATGGTCTTAAACTTCTGCCAGATTGGCAAAAGTGGTGTGTTGGGATTGGGGCAAATCTACAAGGGGCAGGGAATAAACCGGGGACTGATGGTGGACATAACTGCGGGGAAAAGGTCCCATTGTTCGGCCTTCTACTCTGACTTAATTTCGGTACTCAAAGGACGGTCACTGTGCCATTTTTTCATGTGTTTCTCCAAGGTGCTGTAGACACTGAAGGGCATCTGACAAATTTCACACTTGTACACGTCTTTGCCCACCTGACCATGGGTCTTCATGTGGCGAGTAAGTTTGGAGCTCTGGGCACATGCATAATTGCACAGCTCACACTTGTACGGTCTTTCCCCTGTGTGGCTGCGCCTGTGCACTGTCAGGTTACTGCAGTTCTTGAACACTTTGCCACAAAACTCACAAGTATCACTCCTGCGGCCGTCCTTGGAGCTGGGGCGCCCAGGACCACCGAGGTGTGGTGTGCTGCCCCCACTGCCTGTACCACTACGGCCTGACATCCCACCATCCAATTCCCCCGGAGGGGTTGAGAAACGCAGGCTGCCGTTCTCTGAAGAATGCTCCGATGAGGATGCAAAGGGCGATTGTCTGGAATCCCCAAAGTTCAGAAAAGGGTCCTTGAGTTGTCGGGAGGCAGCATAGCCAGCCAGCCACTGAGAGTAGACATTCTCAGTGTTAGGGATTGTAGAGGTGGGCAGGTCAAACTCCTTTTCCAGCTTGATACGTTTAGAGAAAGGACTGAGTGGACTGGGACTACCTAGAAGCAGTTTCTTGGAGAGGCCGACGGAGGCGGATTCATTAGGTGATGCTCCTCGACCGTTGACTGTTGAGACTGAGCCCTCCTCCCCACGATCGGTTTCCAGCACTGAGTCTCCATCGCATATCTCACGATTGTGGTGATGGTCTCGGTTGAGGTGGTGGTGCAGGTGGTTCTCTTGGGCCATGGCATTTCGTTTGTGTGCATTTAGGGCTTCGCTGAAGTGCTGCATGCTCGCAGCAAGACCCATTCCCTGCATCACCTCAGGCAGCGAACGAGGGATCGAGCCCTCATCGGCCACTCCTCCCAGTCGACTTCCGATGCTGCCGTTGTTTTCATGCTGACGTGCCGTTTCAAGGTTCAAGCCAAAGTGATAGCTGTTATTGTTTCGTCTTGCTACCCTCTCTCCATTCTGCTCTTCCTCCTCCTCCCCCTCCTCTTCCTCCTCCTCTTCTTCTTCCTCCTCCTCCTCTTCTTCCTCCTCCTCCTCTTCCTCCTCCTCCTCCTCTCCATTTTCACGTAGCATACGGTCATTCTCACTTTTCAGCTTGGCCACCACTGACTTGAGGGCATTGCTTGCGCTGCCCACATGCTCACTAGTTCCAGGCTCCGGGGATGAGGCTGTAGAGAGCCCGTCTTCTGACTTGCCTGTATTTGGTGAGGACGATTTATGCATGTGTGTCTTCATGTGGCGTTTCAGTTTGCTAGCCTGTGTGCAAGCATGATCGCATAAGTGGCATTTGTACGGCTTCTCTCCTGTGTGGCTACGCCGGTGCACGATGAGATTACTCTGAAACTTGAAGGCCTTGCCACAAAATTCACAACACTTTGATTTCAACTGGGTGGTAGAGGAGGGTGTAGCCCCTGTTGAGGGGAGAGGGGTAGTGGGCGTGGTCTGAGAGCCCACAGGTGACTGCATGGAACCTGGAAGAGGCGGTGGAGTAGCAAGATATGGAGGTTTGCTGCCCCCTGCACCTCCTGTGCCTCCACTTCCTCCTCCTGTCTGGAATGGCTGGAGTAAGCGTTGCATGGGGCTTGGCCGGCTTGGGGACAGCGGGGGAGTGGACCCTGAGGTGTTGCCCGCCAGTTCCCGAAGCCGCCTTGAGAAGTCCATTGTTGGAGGGGGATCTAGAGGCAGAGGAGGATTGAGGCGCAGCACCCTGTCAAAGGCACTCGGGTGGTGGGCTGCCAGCGCCAGCTCCTCTGGGCTCAGGTGGTGGGGGTCCAGGTGGTTCCTTGGAGGGGGGCTGAAGAGGGGTGGTGTTGGGGGGAAACGCTGATGATGGCCACCACCAACAGCGCCAGTGCCAATGCCACCTCCTCCTCCAACACTGTCCCTTCCACCTGAGCCCGAGCCAGGGATGCGCAGGAGGTTGAAGGGGCTTGCATCAGGAGGCAGATGAAGGCCATGAAGTGGAGGCTGGGAAGGGCAGTCTGCGCCTCCGCCAAGGGAGGAAGGGCCACCCATGCGTGGGGTCAGAGGACTGCCATGTTCACTTTCCAGGTAGATACGGAAGCCGTGGGTGTTCTGAGCATGCTGCAGCAAGAACCAGGCGCTGCCATAAGACTGCTTACATGTAGTGCAGGTATAAGTGGTAGGCTCCTCCTTACCTGTTGTGACAAAGAAAAAAGAATGGGGGTTAGAAGAAATGATCAGTGACCTTCAACATGATGCAGACTTTGTTGCATCTGAAACAGTTAATGTATTTGTACGGAAGCTGGATTCTTTTAAACATTTAATGCCTTTCAAATGCTGCTCATTTAGTTTCATTTGACTCATTTTCAATTACACAGCTGTACATGAACAGTGCTATATACGGAACGAAACACATGAAGAGCAACTTTGTTCTCAGCTGAACCAGTCTTTAAACCTAAGGCCTAACTGTTACAGCTTTTAAAAGTGGTCGGCACATGGTGTTGAGGGCTTTGCAAATACAACAGTAGCTTTTATTGAGGTCATGCCCCACATGAGTAGCATGTGAGAAGTCTGTGTGTCTCTCTCTTTTTCTCCCAGACTGCTTTGGGACATAATTTCTCCCTTTAGACTGACTGTGAGTCCTCCATTGTCAGCAGGAGAACAAAGAAACGGGGCTATCCCAGCGGACGACCACTTCCCACTGATCTACCAAAACAGAGGCTCACTGACAAACACACACACTCCCGAACACACAGGAGAGACAACACAGAAGAATCCTCCAAACTTGTAATTTACTACTTCCTTATTTCTCCAGCAACAACCTAAATACATTAACCACCTGATTCACTAGGTCATTGGAAACCTGTCGGGGGTTACAATTAAGAGTAGATCCATCCTGTTTTATAGATTTTTTTTTACCTGCCAGGCGGTGTACTGCAATGACAAAATATGTGACTTCATTCAAAATGTAACATGTTCTCCCTTCTGAAAATTTGCCTATTACACATACGGTTAAAGCAAAATTCGACCGTCACTCATGGCAGGCTCTGGCAACCTGGAGGTTGAAGCCATGAGTAGTCAGAAATGCTTTTTTATTTTTATCTCAAATGTATGCAAGTTCATTGATATAGTCATATGTACTGCCCACACTCAAATGTGCATGCACACCCTTATTCACACAAACACAACAGAGCAGCTCAATCGCCCAAGGATGGTATAACAGTAGGAGTGCGAAAACATTTAGGCTCCAACTGGAGAGGAAAAATAACCCCTTCAGTCTGCTTCAAAGCATCTTCTGTCAGTGAAGCATGTAGAGTCACTTTGAGACAGCAACAAGAGGAACATCTAAAACAATAATTGCCTTTGAATGGCCCTGGTGACGATGACCTGTGGCAGGACCCGCAATGCATGTGTAATCTCATTAGGGCACTGATGGACGGCCATCAGCTCGTTTACAAGATTAGATGATAAACAAACCCCGCCATCACTGCCATTCAGAGTGCCTTCCACTATTAAGCACTGTGCAGCAAGGGTACATTAAACAAAGTGAACATGCAGATATGCACATTTTATACATTAACGAGTTTATGCATGATCAAAAGCCCAAAGCAAAAGAGAAAATATTCAGGTAGAGAGTGCTAGTGTGAGGTCAGTCTGGAATTTTAATTTACACTAAAACAGAAAGTAGCTATAGCATAACAGCTCTATATGTGTACTAAATGACTAACACCATAGCTTTGTCCCTTTCACTACCAACAATCGTAAAATATCTCATTTAATGCATAAAATGCTTGAGCTGTCTTCAGCGTGTGGGTAGAAATAGAGTTATTTATGGAATAACAACAACTGCAATGAAAAAAAAGTCAAAAAGTTGTAACACATAATAAGCTGAAACAGGCAATATTATTTCAAAAGCAAATGGGTGTCATTCTCGGGGTCGTAATATTGATGCTAATTATCTCAGATGATTTTTTGGTTAAAAGCTATTTTGTTGAATCGTGTCGTGGACAATAAATTACAAAACACCCCATTAATATGTAAACAGGTTAGGTGGGTTGTAAAAATACACACTAAATTGGGACGTATCACCTGCTAATTACTGGCAGAACAAATATGGCAAATTAACAGTGATACTAAAAGGATGTCATGGTTTAGCGGAAGCTTTTAGACGTCGGCACACTGCAATTTACCTCTAATAGCCAGAAAGAGAAAGTCAAAGAGGTTTTAGGGATGGAAAAAAATACTTCAACAAATACATGCAAAGAGAAAATCTCTGTGTACGAGTGTGTGTTTAAATTAGGTCTAATTTTACTGACAGTACAGAGCTTACAGACAGCGATTTAAATTGACAAAAGAAATGTTTTTATTCACATAAACGACAATGAATTGCGACAGAATAGCTTGTCATCATAAGGAAGACATGATTGAGTTAAAGTGCGTGTGCGCGGGGGTCTGTCTGTCTGTGCATTTCAGCATCTGGTCGAAAGATTCGCCTTCATTTCCCTTCCCTTTTCCTCTCCCGGCTTCTCTTTCTGTACACACACACACACTTATCCCATATGACCAACCATTTGCAAAAGCAGCCAAATTATGGATCATTAAAATCGGCACAAATTACCACTAATTGTAGGCACCTGCAAAGGATCTAACCTGTGAATATCATTTGCATTATCAGGACCAGGGAGGATTCATTTATTTATTCATGTTTTTCCCTTTGGTTGATCTGCTCTGGTCTTGGACACTGACAATAAAAGTGCACTTTTTCTACCTGGACATTATTTGGCCTTCCCCTTATTGACTAGACAGTAATTTAAATTAAAGGTGAATCTATTTTTTGTTTTGTTTTTTTCCCCCTGACTGCCACAACTTTGGAAAACAATTTAAAATAATACTCTGATAGCCCAGAACTAGGTTGAGAGTTGAGGTCCTATTAGCTTAGAGCCAATAGGTTTAAAGGCATCTGACATCATCTGACATCATCTGTCATCGTCCCCAATTGGTCACGGCAGATGATTACCCCTCCCTCAGCCTGGTTCTGCTACAGGGTTCTTCCTGTTAAAAAGGAGTTTTTCCTTCCCACTGTTGTCGTTAGATCGCTGGGTTTTTTCTCTGTTATTGTAGGGTCATTACTTAAATATAAATCTCCTTGTGGCGACTGTTAATTTCAATTTAATAGAATCTGTAATATAAAAGTTCAGGCTTCAGACTCCTCTAAACACTTGGTTTCCGACAAAAGCTGACTTAAAAAGACGGGGAAGGTGCCTAAAACTGCTTGTTTCATTCAGTGGTTGAACAGAGGATGCACCGAGGCTCAGTACAAAGCTACTCTAGTAGAATCCAAGCATAAGAATATGGACTGGAAGTGAGAATAATAGGTCCCCTTCAAGCAGTTACAGTTTCAAGCAGTAATTCTGAATACAATCATCAAGGTGCCGGTCTGACATCTATATTTTCATACACACAAAATGAATGAGTCCCACAGAACAGAAAAAAGGTACAATGTGTACTGAGTTAGCACAGTGTGAGCATGTTTAAGAACAAAAGCTGCCCTGTATCTCCCTGAAAAATGTCACTCTATTACTCTATGACTTTTCAGGCAGAATAGTATCTGAGGCAGATTTTGCAGCAGTCAAAATACGACTATTAGTAGGAAGGAAGTCTAATATTTGTCTTACTTGCTGTGTAAAAAACAGAAACGCTTGTTATGTAAAACTTAAATGGAGCTTCTCAGGAGTTCCAAAATGTGCATATGATTTAGTCCAGTGGGACTGGGAACCCTACAAATAGATGCAAATCAAATCTGACAAAATAGGAAATATGTTTCTCATAAGGAATAACCTTCATGCCTTTGCTTCTGACAAAAATGCCTCTTTGGCTAAAGCGGCCACATGTGCAGATCATTTCATTTGTGCAGACGCTCACAATAAGCTTTGTTTTAAGGCATCTTGTGGCAAAATGCTTGGGAATCACTGGTTTATCACCTTCTTTGAGAAAAGTTTCTCTCTATATGTGTGGTTCTGCTCAAACTGATACTCCTACAACACAATACAGAAATCTTTTTCTGAGGAATGCGGTGAATGTGCACTTAGTGTAAATCTTCAACTATGTCATTAAATCATGAGTATCTGCATATTCATAGTTTTTGATTCATTCTGTGTCTGTCCCCGGGAAAGTACTGTCATTTGATTTAAAAAAAAGACTTGTAGCATTATAAAATGTTGACTTTACAAACTGTCTGAAAACAAAAGAAAAAAAATGTTTCTCTCTCTGTATAAAGATGTGTGTAAAGTATTAAGTAAAACAAGTAAAAAGCACAATAGTGTAACTCTTAAGCTAATATGCGCCTTTTTGACTCGTAGCTCAGACTTGTCTGCATGCTGATTGAAACTGTAAGGTTAATGGATTTTAGAGTAGGCGACCGCTCCACTCTGTCTCCCTGTAATATACTCCCATCAGCCACTTCATTAGGCAAACTCTCCACCACTCCAAGGTAGAAAAATGAAGTGAGAAAGTGGAATGGAGACGGTGGAATGAAGACAGATCGAGCCAGAGAAAGAGAAAGAAAGAAGATGCAATAGAAGTAATCTCTGTGGTTTAAGTTTAGATAGAGGTGACAAATACGTCGCACAACTTTAAAGTTCGGCTGCACGTGTGCACCAGGTATATGGAAGGAGACGGGTGGGCAGATGGGGGAAATAATAACATCCGCTTCTTTACCGAGGGTAAATGTCAGAGCCGTGTGCCTGCTAGTGAGACTCCAGAGAACACACACACACACACACAGTTTCAGAAATGTCCTAGCACTCAATACCAGCCATGCTACAGTGACAAGCGCAGGCATTAAGCCTTATTAAGCCAAGGGCATTGCCTGGACACTTATGTGGTGCTAGATGGGAGAGGGAGGCAGTAAGACAGCTTGGCTCATGTTTCACAACTCCTTTGTGTGTGAGAGAGAGAGAAGGACAGAGTGCAGCAAGTTCCCCTGGCTCTACCCATCCCTCTCAACAACGAAGTGTAACACTCTGAGCCAATGGCTGTGCAAGGGGCTGAAATAAAGCCAGTGCACCAAAGCGTACGGCGACAAAACGGATAGATTGAGACCAAAATACACCAGAGCATCATATGTGGTTCAGGATTATAAGTCTTGGCATTCAGAAGGTGAAAAATAATTATTCTAACAGACACATCAAAAAAA